TGCGAAGAAGAATGATTGAGGATCTTCCTCGAGGAAGAAATGGGAGCTTTACTTATCTAGCTGAAGGAAAAGCATTTGGGGTAGGGGCAATGCTTGTGGAGCACGCTGTTGCAGTTACCAGCACCAAGGACAGCGACAGTCTGTCTAGCCGGTCTGGGTGGTCCTTACCGGAAGCAAACAGAATTCTAGGGACACCAATCGTGATGGCTTATTGCCCCGCCTCCTCCCCCATCAGGAATCTCAGAATCCGGGAGGCTGTGGCAGGAGCATTGTGACAAGTTGGAGGCCAGCCTGGACTACAGGGCAAGCCCTTGTTTTAAAAGCACAAATAAAATAACAGGAAACACCACATAAGGAAACTCAATGGGCTTTCCCCCGAAAAACATGCTCAACTTGTTTTCCAGATATTACTGTGTCATCTATTGTTGTATCTACAAAGAATATATATTCACTGGTTTGAAAGAAGGAAAACACAAACAAATGTTTATTCTGTCTCCTGTTCCAAGTACTTTCAAAGTATTAATACATTCGACCTCCACAGAGCTCCTATGTAGCATACACTGATACGTCATTTTACAGATAAGACAGAATAATAAGAGAAATAGGTAACTGTGTATTACCCAATCGTTGGAGGTGGGATCTAACATGTGTGGCTTCAGAACCTCTGCCCTTTACACTAAATAGTGTATAGCAGCAGCTGTGGTAGGCTCAACGGGAAAGAAGCAATAAAATGACAAGCAATTGTTTTCTATACTATATTTTTTCAGGTAGCTCACACCATAGCACATCTTTAATAGACTTGAATGATGGTATTACATATGTAATACTGATGTGGCAATACGTTTGTCTTGGACGATAGAGTGAGGTAATTAATCATTTTATCTGTCCCTGGAGCCCGGCTGCCTTCAGGATGAAGGACAATCTGATGCTTGTGACTCAGACACGAAGAGAGGTGTAGCAGGCTTGGAACATAGCTTCAACCGAAGTGTTTCATCTATACCTTGGCCAAGTTGAGTCCCCATAAGTGAGGAGAAAGGCAAACTAAATGATAAACTGGCTTTAAGTTTGGAGATGGGTAGGAGAGAATGACTAAAATCAGTTCCAGTTTTGTTTAGCATGCATATCACTGGGGATATTTGTGTGATGGTTTGTGACACTAGATACGGACTCTATAAAAGTGTGAATAGAATTAGACCAAGAGAAGTAGTGACATAACAGTGTCATTTGTGTGTTCTAGTACAGTGTTTCCAAGTGATGAGAGAAGGAAATACAGAATCATGGGAATTTTCAAATTATATACAACCCACCTCCTATAGTCCATTAGTTGGTAATAATTATTACAGGATCCAGAGAATATCCCATTTTGTGTCTTTTATGTTATCATGTTATTCTTCCCTCCTCCCTCCCCCTTCCAGTCCTGGACTTTTGAGACAGGGTCAGTCTGGCCTTTTAACTTTTGACCTAAGTGCTTGGATTATAGGTGTGCACCCATCACTGGTTTTTTGATCATCTGTCATATCTTTAGGGGGTTGAGGAACAGCGGCATCTTGACTTTATTATCTTCATTTTCCAGGGGGACTATCTTGAAAGAGGACATGTTCTTGGTCATCATCGTACAAGAAAGTCAAGACAAACACTAAAGTGTTTTCAAATCACCTCTAAGTTCTGAAGATGATGCACTACCTCTAGGATATTCTAAACATGATTAATTATGTAAAGAATGTTGCTATAGATTTAATTAGTGTGCTTCAGTCCTGTAGAATTCTTGTTGATGTGTGAGCTCTATCTTTGGTTGGTGGCTTTTGTGAGTTGGTTCCTGAATTCTTTTGTCATGACGCCAGTGGTCTTGCTCAAAATCTTTGATTTCTCATGGCATGTTCTAGGGTTATCTTGCACACTTCCTGTTGTATATATATTACCAACAATTTCTCCGAAGAGTACTGGGTCTTTTTAGTAGGAAATAATACTTAACAACCACAATCTGGGTGTAGGCGGGGCATTTTTTGCTTCCTGGCTGGTCACTATATGTCTTGGTCCTTGTCTTTATATACAAAACTTAATTTAATTGGGTCTTTTTTGTTTTGTTTTTCAAGACAGGGTTTTCCCGAGGAACCTTGCCTGTCCTGGAACTCACTCTGTAGTCCAGGCTGGCCTCAAAGTCACAGATTCGCCTGCCTCTGCCTCCTGAGTGCTGGGACTAAAGGCAATGTGCCATCACTGCCCGGTACATAGTTGCTTCTTAACTCAGGATAACTGTATTTAATTTGATCTATATGAACATCCAGGGAATTAGCAATTCAGTAGCATAGGCCTTTGGGCACGTATGGCCTCAAAATGATTGCTAAAACCAAAAAAAAATGCATCAGAGAAATATCAAAAATTCCCCATAATGTGCCTGTCTTTGAAAGACCATATTTAAATAATGTAATGAGAGATGGAATCAAAGAAACTATTTAGCAAAATCAAGAATTTTCTACCTATAGGGGACAGTTGCACTTAGGCCATTCCTTCTGCACGTCTCACTCCACTCAGCCATGTTTGGCAGATTTGAACTCCTTCCAGTGTGCACATGGTATATTGTATTCACTCATGTAATAACTTGCTTGTTAATTTTTATCACACGTCTTAGCCATGAAACTCACTCTAAAGAGAGCATATGTAGTTCAACTACAGTGTAGGTCACCCTGCAATGGGACACAGGTCTGCGTTGGTTTGTTCATTTCACCTAATGTCATCAGCAAGTGTTTGTTAAGTGCCCATCATCCTAGATACTCTTCTGAGTCTTTAAAGCAAACCAGTGACAAAAGACTACAGCAACATCCCCACCAAGCCAAAGAGCACAGTTCCTTGGCTTTTACTTCTTAGCATGGATAGCAAAATTAATCACAACATAGAAATGTAAAGTCACACTTTAAGAAAAAAGATTATTGGGCCTGTGGAGTGTTTCAGTGGGTAAGGGAACTTGCTGTTAAACCTCATAACTGAATTTGATCTCTGGATCCACATGATGGGAAGAAAGAATCCACTCTGCAAGTGGTCCTTTAATCTCTACAAGTGTGCCATGGCACATACTTCACTCCCTCCCCCAGATTAATAAATGTAATTTTTTTGAGGTTTATATATTATTTAACACTCTCCATGTTGTATGCTTATAATAAAATGGGTTAAAACTGGCTTGTAAAAAAATGAGTATCCAATCATGTAAAGTCATTCAAATATTTGTATTGTATAAGTAAATAAGTAATAAGACCATTATCTTAGTACTTTACTAAGTTGACTGCTAAATGACAGCACACCTAAGAAGCTCTTGGAAGGGTTAAAGCTTTCAACAAGCAGAACTTGGTACAAAAAAATCAAGACAGCATTAAATTATTTTGGTTTTGTCATTTGTAGATTAGATGAATAAGCAAGCAGTTAGTAGTGAGATATCATAATGATACTGAACTCTGGCTTACCATGCTCTGTTCAAAGCTTTCACTTCAACTGTGTCTTGGTTTGTGATGACAACTAGTTTCTCACTACTAAATATGATTTTAACTCTGACACCCTCATCTCAGAACCTTTGATGTGGTCCTCAACCTAGACAATGCTAAAGTGAAAGTGTCAAGCTAATTAAAATCAAGAGTTAACAAAAGTATATGAAACAAAATCCTAAATTTTACTTGGCACATGCTTTTAAACTTGTATTTGAAAGTGCTTTTAAACTTGTACTTGAAAATTAACAGTTGTGTGTGTGGGGGTTGATGGTGCATGCATTTAATCCCAGCACTCGGGAGGCAGAGGCAGGCAGATCTCTGTGAGTTCGAGGCCAGCCTGTTGACATAGCAAGTTCCAGGACATACAGGGCTACATACAGAAACCCTGTCTCTAAAAATAAAAAAAGAAAATTATCAAGGAAATAATAGTCAGCCACGTGCACACTTAAAATCCCAGAACTCAGGGGGCTGAGGCAAGAGGACTGCTTTGATTTAAGACCTCCCTGGGCTTACACAGTGAATTCCAGGCCAGTCTAGACTTCACAGTGAAAACTCATCTTGAAAATATGTGTTAAGTATGCTTAGGAAACTCTCTGGCTGATTGTGATGAACTGGCTTAATTTGGGACAATTTTAACGTAAAAAATGGTGACACGTTAAATTTGAGAAAAGATTGGGGGTGGGGATCTTTCAGGAGTGTGGGATCTAGTGTAGAGTGAATCCTGGAATTAGAAAATCACCATATTGCGTTCCCTCAATCTCCTATTGGAGTGTCAAAACCACTGATAGACTGTAGTTAGGGAAAAGGACATTCTAATGCTCCCCTCCCCCGGGTTTATTAATGAAAGAAAGACGGAAGTGAAAAGGAGGAGGGAGGGAGTGAGTGTGAGAGAGAGGAGCAGGCAAGGAGTCTATGAATGAATATCATGTTAACCACACAGTACAGAGGACAGCCTGACCACATAATTTGAAGTCCATCTGTATGGGATTCTTTCTTTCTTTTTTTTTTTTTTTTAAGATCCTTTTTTCTTTTAAAGTTTTATTTATTATGTATCGCGTTCTGCTTGCATATATGCATACACACCAGAAGAGGGCACCAGATCTTATTACAGATGGTTGTGAGCCACCATGTGGTTGCTGGGAATTGAACTCAGGACCTCTGCAGGAGCAGCCAGTGCTCTTAACCTCTGAGCCATCTCTCCAGCCCCCTGTATTGGATTCTTAATGGACTGGTTGATCCAAATCTAAGCAGAAAGGAAATGGTCTGAGTTTCTAGGTCTGGATTCTCTGCAGTGTTGTGATGCTTCAAAGAATGTAAGAGAATATTGGTGGCCACAGTGTGACCCCACCTCTGGTCTCTCATCTCCTGACCTCCACATACTGTCTTTGTCTTTCAGTGACATGTGAGGGAGTGAGGTGGAAGGAAGGTGGAGCTTTGAAGCCATTGATTTCCTTAGTCATTTTGGTTTACTTATCAGGTCTGAGCATTTGCAGCAGAAGGATTCATTCTCTGATCTCTTTTAAGGTCTCGGTGTTGGGACATGTCCATTAGAACCACTTTGGTAATCTCTCTCACCACAGTCAGAATGGCTGTCATCAAGGAAGCAAGCAGCAAATGAGGATGTAGAGAAACTGAACTCTTACACCCTGCAGGAGTGTCAATAGTGCAGCCACTTCGGAAATCAGTATGGAGGTTCCTCAAAAAAAAAAATTAAAAATAAGACAACCATATGATCCAGCTATGCTGCTTCGGGTATATTTCTGAAGGATTCCATGTAAGTATACCACAGAGTAGGTTGCACATGTGTGCTTTAATGCAGCATTTACAATGGTCAAGATAGGGAACCATCCCATCTGCCCATCAATAGATAAGACAATGTGGTGCTTATATATGATGGAATTTTATCCAGCTGTAAAGAAGAATGAAGGCATGACATTTTACCATTAATTGGATGCAACTGAAGATCATTGTGTTATATGAAATTAGTCAAAGTCTGTCACATGTGGAATCTAGATTTAAACATATATATGTGTAAGGAGCAGTGTGAGACAGGGAAGAGGCCTTAGATTGTGGTAATGGGAAAAATGATAATGGATGGAATGCAACTCGAAAACAGAAGAACAGGGGACTGTTGGTGGGGTAAGTGAACAAAAACGGGGGATGTTCAGTGTGGAAGGGCAGGTGGGATGGGTGAATGAGAACAAACTATAATGATATATATGTTTGAAGAAGTCACAAGGAACCCAGGTCTTTGTAAGCTAAGAAAAGCAAATAATCATTTATTTATTTATTGGTGAGCATGTAGGCTGATTTCACAGCTTGTCTACAATAGATGTGGGCGTGCAGGTATTTTTATGGTGAGCTGACTTTGATTCCTTTGGGTGTATACCCAACAGTGGTATATAGCAAGATCATATGGATAGCTTTAAAGATTTTTAGGTTTTGGAGGAACCTTTGTACAGATTTCAATAGTGGCTGGACTAATTTCCCTTCTCCCCTACAATGCGGAAGTGTTTGTTTTGCTTTGCATGTTTGCCAGCATTTGTTGTTGTTGTTTCTTGATCCTTATTATGACTAGGATGAGAAGGAACCAGTGTAGTTTTTATTGCATTTCTTTTCTGGGTAGAAATATAGTATTTTTTACATGTACTTATTGGCCATTTGCAGCTCTTCTTTTGAGAGTTGTCTCTTCATTTCATTAAATAATCACTTTTTAAGCAATCAAGTGCAGTTAGGTTTGCTGTATTAGTAACAAAACATGCCCAGATACTTTCTTAAAACACTATCATGAAGCACAATGAATGAGTAATAGGTGTATTTATAGTGTATTTATTTTTTTTTACAGTCATTGTGTATTGCTCTACCATGTTTGCCAAATTCTCAGACCATTTGTTATTTTTCTCCTTGTTACTTTTTAAAAATAAAAATTATTTTAAAAGTGTGTGTGTGTGTGTGTGTGTGTGTGTGTGTGTGTGTGTGTGTGTATACATGTGGGCATGAATGTGAATACAGATGACTGTAGGTCAGAGGCATCAGATTCCTCTGGAATACAGAGTGGTTGTGAGCTGCCTGACATGGGGGTTTGGAACTGAACTTGGGTCCTCTGCAAGAACAACGCATGATCTCAAACACCGCACTTAATGTTATTTTCTAAGTACTTTCCTTCATAATGACTCATCTTAAACCTCTCATCTCACTTTCAGCAACATTATCTGTAAGATCATGGGTTTGCTGTGTGTGTCATATTTTCATGATGTGCTTCACAACACATACTTAAGCAACGGGTAGGCTGGGTGTGATGGTGGATACCTGTAACCAAGCACTTGAGAGGCTGAGGCAGAAGTACTGCGAGTTCAAAGGCAACCTGAGTGAGAAGTTGTCCCCCCTCTGCACTCTCCCACCCCAGTGTTTACCTATATAGTCCATGCATCGCCCAGGACTGGCTCAGGAACCTCCAGTGCTTTGCTATGCTTTGGAAAATACCGACTTACTTTTCTTGTTTGCTTCCTTGAGGTAAGCAGGCATGACATAATTCATAAATGAGAAATTCGGGCTCATGGGTAAAATATTACGGTCAATAATGATCAGAATTGCCATTATGCTTTCTCTGTTAGGACTCAATGCTCCTACTGTGCCACTAGCTCCATCAAGGAAGGAAAATTCAGCCCTAAGAGTAAAATTTTATATAGTTAGGCCCCCAAATTTTTAGAGTTTTGTAGTAATTTAAAGACAGACTAGACATAAAGACATGAACAAACCATGACACCCAGAGTGGATTTCTACACTGTAGCTGTTCCCGCTTGTCAGCATCCCCAACTCCTGGTGTCCTGTAATGCCCCCCCCCCCACTTGAGTAATTTTGGTCCCATGAATGGAACATAACAGCCTTGAGAACATGCTGCTTCCCTGATGAGTTTACAAAAATGTTGTAATTTTATCTTTTTTTTTTTTTTTGGTTTTTCGAGACAGGGTTTCTCTGTGGCTTTGGTTGGAGGCTGTCCTGGAACTAGCTCTTGTAGACCAGGCTGGTCTCGAACTCACAGAGATCCACCTGCCTCTGCCTCCCGAGTGCTGGGATTAAAG